TGGAAGAATTCCTAATTTTATTAATAAAATTCTGGTTGCATAGATTGTTTGATTTAAAATTCAATCTGAAGACCAAATTATTTCAGGAGAACGAGATTATTAAATTAAAGTTTGGAAAGTTGATTTTTTATAGAATCAATTATACTATTAATATTCATTGAATAAATATTCAAATGAAATTTATCGTTTATGTATAAGTTAATCTGAAAATACTTTGGTTTCTACTGATAGCTTTTAAAAATTAATTTGTAAGAAAGATAATCTACCGAAATGGTAATTTGAAAATAAAGTTATTGACAGTGATGATGTAAATTTAAACACTTATTTTTATTTATTAAAAAATAATAAATTATTATTTTGATATTATTAGTAATCAAAACTATAATCCATAAGAAATTTGCTTCATTCGATCTAGATTGTATTTTATTAATCATTATAATTAGTTTTGGCAACAGGAAACGAAGTAAACAAATACATCATCATTTCGGAGTTAGAAAATGGAAAAAACTAAAAACTATAGGTGATCCAAGATTTAAAATTTTTTGAAAATAATTAAATTGGAGATGAGGTTGATTTCCTATGTGTTTAAAAAAGAAAAGAATTTGATGATCTTTAAACATAAATTTGTTGTTTACTACATAACAATACAGGAAAATGAAGGAAAGTAATTTAATCTCTATGAATTATAAATAATTTGAATAATTTAAGATATAAGTAATTTTTCAAATTTTTTTACTCACCAAATTATTTTAATTCTTTTAAATAAGAATTCACAATGATGTTAAAATTATTTTAATTGTTTATTTGTAGAATATCAAATTAAAATAACTTTAAGTATGTTTAATATCCAAAATTAATTTAATAGTTCAAGTACTATCAGAAATTATATAATCTAATCATTTTTGATATATTTAAATAATTCTTTGTATATAAGAAATAACAACTCCATATATCAATTAAGAGTTATAATTAACTTTTAAGTATCAATTTAGTTGTAATAAGTTATAGTACTTCTCTAAAATTTAAATAATTTCATACACATTTAGAAACATTTGCAAATTACAAACATTATACAGCATAAAATCCATATCTAAGAAAGAATTGAAAAATTGTTATTTGGAAGGTTTCTTTTTTAATAGAGTCTGGGCATGTAGTTTTAATATGTTCTACTTATTTATTTTCTTGATTTTGTTTAAAATTAGGCTGTTCCAAAAATTGAGCGGCCAAAAATCATGATTAATCCAGATGCGTAAAAGTAAACCCTCTCTTCATTTAAAAAAAAGTTCAAAAAATTAATTTACAAATTAGTCTATAAAACTTGCTTAGCATATTGTAAATAAAATTCATTTAAGCTATTATCATGTATGAAGTGAATTGCATAGGATATCACCTTCTAGAATTAATAATTAATTTATATAAAAGCCTTTCATTATATTGATATTAATTGATTATTCAAATAATTTTAAATTAATGGCCATTTGCTTAATTGTATAATATTTAGAGATTCATTAAAGAAGTAATTAATAATTAAATTACAATCCTGATTTTAAGGTAGGTTTTTTAATAGATCAAAAGAAATACAACGGATATTACCTACCGAATTGAGATTTGATAATAAATAATAAACTAAATATCTTTTTTGGATAAAAGTTGATAATTTTGGTATATTAATAAACTTAGATGAGGAAGTCTAAGAGAATTAAATTAACCTGGAGAATAATTTTAAATTAATTGTTTATTGGGATGTCTTATAACCTTTAAAATAGCCTGTGTCCTAAAATTGGGGCTTTTAAAACTTATAAAAAGGAAAAAATTGTTAAGTGATATATTCTGTTTCGAAAAATAATTTTACAATCAATAAAAACATTGTATTATTTATTTATAATTTCTTTTTTAATTCTGTCTAAGTATTGGGAAGATTAATGGAAGAGGATAACTTCTAAATCTATTTGCTAAGAAAGAAGGCAAAAAATTTTATGATTAATTTAGATAATTTTTAAAGTTTATTCATAAACCTTAATGATTTAATCCTATTCTTAAGTTCGATTTAGTCATAGATTTTAATAAGTGAATCCTTGCTAAAACATACTTCTTAAAGAAATTTATTCTTGTTCCAATGAAATATTCAATTATTAAATCTTAGGTAATAAGTAATGGTAATTAAAATTAATAACTTATTTTTTTATTAATTTAATAATCATAATTCACAACTTATTATAATTTTCTTTGTCTTAATTTCTACCCTTATACCAGTTTTTCTACCATTTTTACATTCGCCTTTATTGACTATTTACGACCGTCTCTCAAACTCATCACTCTGCTCAATTATACTTCCAACCTAATTAAATTATTTCCTTCCAATTAATCATCATATTTTCCCCTTACTCTGTCTATATATTTTATAACAAATAATATTTTATATCTATTAATTTATATCTTTCCAATTCCATAAAATAACCGAAATACCAACTTTTTTTGCAATTTTTATATGAACCCTTATAAGTCACTAACTTAGGAATAATAATCTAATTTATCACTCATACTCAACCCATTTTCTAATTTTCATAAAACTATCATCATCATAAAATCCAAACCCTCTAAAATTAGATTTTTATCAAATAATATAATAATATTACATAATGTGTCCCTTTAGGGTTACATTCAAAATATCAGACTTCCTGCCATTTTTGTAAATCCTTAGATTATAGTCGAGAAATCTCCTGAAATCCTTCACTTTATTCAATCCATTAATTAACCTTAAAAGAAATCCCCTTCACAATTTTCATCATATAATTCTTCATCACTGAGATCTATTGAATATTTACATCTGTTTGTTTGTCCATTAGAAAAGATAAAACTTATGTAAATATCTCATTTACAAAATTTTTACCAAAAAAATATTCATCAACATAAGTGATTTATGAATCATCATTAGATCTGATGCTTAATTCAATCCAACTCCCTATTTTTTGAATCTCCTTCTAGTTAACATTCATAAGACCCACCGCCACTACAATTTAAAATATGCATTAATAGTTTGACATCGATTATCCCCTATACATTTTATGCCAATTACCTCCTTTTACTATTTTATTATTCACCAAAATGTGACCTACGAATCATTATGAATACCATATTTCGATTCAATCGACTTCCCTAACTTAATCAAATCTCATTCTTTCTTACAGATTCCATCAACCAATTCAACCCAAGATCCATTTTTCCTATCCTTTCCTTAATTATCATCATATCACTAATTTTTGTTTTCTTTTTCATATAGTAATAATTCTAAATAAAATTTAATGTACCAATTTTTTTCCATCTTTGTATAAGCCTTCTTAGATCACATTTTATTTTCTCAGATTATTTTTCAGATATATCTAATACTCCCAATAATTGTCACATAAATCTTGCCCTTTCCTCATTTTATCTAGTCGAACTGTAGATGCCGCATCAAATTTATGTCCCTTCCGAAAGTAATTCCATTAATTAATTGTTTATCAATTAGCTCCTTTAAATTCTAAATATTTAATTTTTTTAGATTGTTAAATATTTTGTATATAATCATCTTTAATAACTTTTTAATTTATTACTTAATATCTTTTACAGTCTTACAATTAATTCATGATTTTTATAATCATAACTTTCTTAACAATAATAATTATTTTATCCAGTAAATAAAGTATTAAAATAATGTAAATATGTGAAAAATTTTATGGCAAAATTAACCATTAGATCAAAATTTATTAAAATGAGTTTATGAAATGAAATTTCTTTGCAAAATTGCCATAAGAATAATAAATATGTTTCTAATATAAGGTTTAAGATTATGATTAACAAGAATAAGAAAATAAACTGTTATTCAGGCTATAATAAAAGGGTTATTTCTGATATGTTAGCAAGTAGACTAATAGAAAAGTATTCAACTCACAAAATATTTAAATTAATACTTTTCAGCATACTAAAACTTTTCAATTAATTTTCTTGAAAATATAGTAGAATATATTTAAGATTTTTGGTTCCTCCATTATTTAAGTTTGTATTAGTAAACAAGCCTTCAAGATCCTCTTAACGATGATGAGAAAATAGTAATTAGTTGATATCTTCATTTAATACAAATCTACTTATGACATTATAAAAAATTATGACAGAAACAAAAAACAAATAAATATATTATTTTACTCTGCTCAAAGATAGTATGAAAGGATTCATACGGATAATCAAACTACAACCTTAATTAATTTTGGTTAAAATTTAAGAGGAATTTATTTAAATTTAAATGATGAATAAATTTTTTTAAACTGATTATCAAATTATTACACTCTAATAAACGACCCTTAAAATTAGTAGATGTTGCCATCTCTTAACTTTTAATATCTTGATACAAAATTAAAAAAATATTTTAACCCTTAATACATTCTATTTTATAGATCTACTATATAGGGGATAACATACTTTAAGAATACTAAGATTTCATAAAACTAAAAAAAAAGTCACTAACAAGTCTATTAAATGTAAAACAGGAGCTTGTATTAAATCCAAAATTTGAATCAGATTAGCTTCAAAACTAGCAAATCAATTAAAATTTTTGATATATTATAATAACTTGATCCAAATTATTTAAAAATTATGTAAAAAAAAGGTTTATATTTATGACAATTTTTGGCTAATACTTAATAGAATTGAGTAAAACTGATAGTTGAATAAGTTTGAAAAATAACTATAACTATATTAAGATATAATCAACATTTATCCAATCAATGAATTTTCATACTAAAAAATAGGTCTATAAAATCATTATATATTTTAGTAGCATTTCAAAGTCAATGTAATCAAATTTAAGTTTAAATAGTCTTATTAAGAAACAAAAGCATATTATCATTAGATTAGTCAATAAGTTACAATAATTCAGATGCTTGCTTTAGAATAGGTTTAATTTGTAAATATTTAAAAAGTTTATGCATAAGAAAATTTTTGAAAATGTAATTTAATGTAAAAGAGACTTACTTATTTAATAAAACATAGTATTATTATATCAAAACTATTGAAACTAATTCTTCTTAGATAATGATAGTCTTGATAGATCTCATAGATGATTCCTAAAATTATATAAAATAATAATCAATAACGTTACAAAACGATTCGTAATTCCTATTCAAATTTTTTTAAAATTATTATTTGTCAGTAATTTTAACATTAGGTGATTAAAAACTCTAAATTTTGAGTAAATGCAAATAGTTCTTAGATCAATAAGTTTCAAAAGTATTTTTAGATTTGTCAAACTCAAGATTTTGCCATTAAATTGATAGTCCTATTGAAATTTGTTAAAGAAAATTTTTCTTTAACCAACTACCATTACTTCAATTGATTTTAAATAAAACTTAATGGTTAAATGTTCATCCCAAATTTTAAAATTCTCAATTACTAAAATAAATTTAAATAGGAAATTTAATCAAAAAAAATGTCTATGGATTCCAGTATTGTAAGTTTTTGGAGTAAAATCGTAATGCATTCAAAGAATAGATTGGTAATGGAATTAAAAGTAAAAAATGATGAAAATGTATAGATCATAAGATAGAAAAAGAAAAAGACCTTCAATTTCTCCTGAACAGGTAGAAGAATAATAATAATAATCATATTAATAGTAGAAGCAAATAAAATCATTTGTAGATAATGTTAATACTAGTGATAATAGAAATTAAATGTTAAGATTAAGAAAAGTACTTTTATTCCTTTTAGCTCTTCTATTGAGTAATTGCTAGAATAATTCAATTAGAAAATTGAAAAAAATTTAAATTATATACTTTTTATTTACAATAGGTCTAATACTGCGTACCTTATATAATTACTAAAGAAGAATCCAATTAAGAATACGATTATTTATCATTTCTTTCTTAAGCTAGTGTTAATGATTATATTTAAAATCTTAAATAAAGCTCAACACCTAGAAATTTTTTATCTCCTTTAAAATTGAATATAGAATTAAACCACGAAATTAAGTTTAGTTTATAATGATTGTCCTTTACTGAAATAATTTTAAAGAATATTAATTGAGAATATTTCAGTAAGCACTGGCAATAGTGGATTTAATTATAAATAAATTTTTATGTGATAATCCACAAACATTTTTTAATTTGTATTTCATTAAATATTATTATGTTACCAAAAAAGTAATCAATTTATTTTTAACTTAACCCAATCCTTTAATATAAAAGCTAATTATCTAGATATAAGGCTTTCATTCAAATGAAGTTTTATGTTCAAAGGCATGTAATTGAAAGTCAATAAAAATGAATGGATGGATTTATTCGATTTGGTAAAACTTAATTCTTTGTACATTCAGATGATTAATTTAGTGAAATTTTACCTTGATTTCAAAATTAATTTTTAACCAAAAAGCATCAAATCTAAAATAGTATCTTTTAAGATGATAAAGAGTATATTTTACTTTATCTAAATTTAAAATCTATGAAAATA